GCATCCCTAGGGGCATGGAGGGGTGATTTGCTCCTCTCAGGACTGTTAAGTGGTGCAGCTGATGCTTGGATCCCAGGCTGTTTCCATGCCTGTCTTTCCACCCACTGAATTGCTGCCCAGCTCCCAGCGGAATCTTTTTTTTTTTTGTTTTAAGATTTTATTTATTTATTTGACAGAGAGAGAGATCACAAGTAGGCAGAGAGGCAGGCAGAGAGAGAGGAGGAAGCAGGCTTGCTGCTGAGCAGAGAGCCCGATGTGGGCTCGATCCCAGGATCCTGGGATCATGACCTGAGCCGAAGGCAGAGGCTTTAACCCACTGAGCCACCCGGGTGCCCCTCCCAGCGGAATCTTAAACGTGGATTCCTGTCCATTAGTGTTTTCTACCTTGGCTATATCTATGAAGTTATTTAGTGTTTTCTACCTTGGCTATATCTATGAAGTTATTTTCTGACCCTGCTATTTTTTCCCTTATATTTAAAAACTAAGATACATGGTTTCTTCTGTCAGTACCAAGCTTTCTGAGAGTATGTTAGGATACTTGCAAACCATGATTTCATACCACAGAAAGGCATGGCTCAGAGCACCTTCTCCCTGTGGGACCACCTTAGAAGAGAGATAGACCCTCCTCTTCCACTTTCCACCGTCTGCTTAGTGGTAAGTGCCCACTGTTGGGCTTTCCCAAGTGTACTGTGGACTTAGAGCAACCCCTGGAACATACAGGAACCGAGAAGGAAGAAAGGCACTTGACCTTAGGGTAATTCATCACATGATGGAGGTCTTCTAAGAAGTACACTGCCTCTCTTCAAATAGCTGATTACTAGAAAAAACTAACCTGAACTAAAGTCTCTTTTGCAAAAGGACAGAGCTGTTGCCTTTCAGGCATGTCACCTGGAACGGGACCCTCTGGGCCTCCTATGGTTGATTTTGCCCAAGGCTCAAGTTGGTCATTTATAGATAACTTGCTTCCTCCTCATTTTCTGGGCTAACTCCTCGATTAGAACATGTAAATGCAAATCAGTGAGGCATGCCCCAGAGGTGACTTTGCCAGTCATGAACATTTTTAAAAATACATACACTATGGGGGAATTTGACAGACTCACTGAGCACCTCGTCCCCTTGTGTATGTTGGGCATTATTCTGGGTCCGACAGAAAGATGGCAGAGCGGGGAGCTTACCTTCAAGGGACTTTTAGACTCGTGGGAGAGAGCACTTCAGCAAGGTATTTGAGTGCAGTGATGAAAGTGTGCACACAAGGCTTCCCAGAAGCTGTACTACAGCGAGTGAGCCCTGAAGAATGACCAGGCCCAGCCAGGTGAAGAGCACAAGGGAGCGACAGTGAGGAAGGACGGAGGAGTTAGTCCAGGTCTCTGAGAAGTGGCCGGAGGGGCACATGCAGGGCGTGCCATCAGCTCGGTGTCACTAGGGCAGAGGGGGATAGGGGCCATAAACACCACTAGACAGTCAGGCAGGAGCCTAGCCTTGTTGGCCTTCCATGATGTCTCGACGAATGTGGGCCTGGTTCCGGGTTAACTTTTCATAGATTCTTGGCAAGGGCATACCCACTTGATGTGGGTGCCAGGCTGCGTCAGAGGGGGTCCTCTGGCCAGAGCTCTGCTCTCTGGTGGCCCCAGAGCTCCCTCACAGTGTCCTCTTAGCTGCAGGCATTTGTAGGTTATCTCACTCCAATATCTGTCACAGTTGATACCTTTTAAATCCCCATTTTAGAATTTTTTTTAAAAATTGAGGCCCGATTATCAGACCAATTAAGTGTCTTGCTAGAGGAATGAACGTAGATGTGCCTGCCACGCTGCTCTCAGAGGTTGAGAATGTGCCCCCGCAACTCTAGAGCTGCCCTTCTTGAGGTAAGAGGTTAAAGGTCACACATGCCCAGGGCCACACAGCAGTGTGCTTTCAGGGGACCTGGGTGGAGAACACCGCCTTGGCAGGAGATTGAGTTGGCAAGAAGAAAATCATGGTGGGCTTTCTTTAAGTTGTCTCGTGTGTCTGTGAAGTGGAGGGCGATGTCATCAGTGTGACTGAGTTCATGCTTGCTGACAGGGCAGTCTGCCCGCTTGTACTGAGGTGTCCGGGAAGGCTGAGCTCGCTGCCTGACTCACCCAAAGCCCTTGCAAACGGTAGAGGAGGCCGGGGTGGGGGGAGGGGACAGTGCTGGCTTGGCATGACCAAGGGCCCTTGAACTGGTGGCATCCCCACAGAGCACCTGGGATGTGTTCCACAGAAGTTCACTCTGTGTCCCCTCCCTCACCAGCTTCCTGTCGTCTCATCCTGGCCAACTGCAGGATGCTCCGCAGGCAACAGACCCCCGCCACCCGGCCCCTACCTGCTTCTGTGGCCTGGTCCCCACCGCTTTGCCTCCTCGTGCTGCTCCTGCACAGACCACCCCCCCACCCCAAGCCAGCACTGTGAGGGCCAGACCCAGGGCCCAGCTGTTGTTCTCACACCTGCAGCCTGAGCTCTGAGCTCTGGCCCTGACACACAGGAGTAAACGAAGGCGCACAGACAGCACAAAACAGAAGGCACGGGGAATGGTGGTATGAAAGAAACATTGCTCTTATGGTCTTATTGAGAATAAGATTCTTTCAAAGTAAAATGACCTCTCTCCAGTGCTTTGCACCCAAGCCTGACCTTTCATGTAAATAATAATAAACACAGATAAATCGTGGGTGTTCTTGATACCTGTCTTCTCACATGTACACAGATTTCATCCTTGAAGCATGCTGATTAGGGTCCCCAGTTTGGCTCCTGAAAGGATGAATGCACAATCCCAGTCTGTGCCGCCACAGTGTATGCATTGTGTTCACAAGCATGCCGGCCAGGTGACGGGCGTGAGCAGAGCAGACACGCGGACTGCTGAGGCACACTCCAGGAAGTGAGCCTTGTTCACGTGGTCGGGTAACCCTGGCTGAACACAAAGCTGGGCTGTGTCTTGTTGCGAAGCCATGACCGCAGTGCCCTGAGATCTGACCCTGCCCCTCCTAGAGAGAGGAGCTGGGGCTCTGCGGGGAAGTGTCTCAGTCAGGGCCCTGCAGTGACCTCATGTGGTCCATGTGTCCTATCCTCCTGGCTTGTAAGCCCTGATGTCTTAGCCCACTCTTGCCCAGGTCTAGAAGATGCCTTCTAGATGGTCTGTCTCCTGTTTTTGTTGGTCAGTGTTTGCTTCAGTCACGAGAGCACTGGGGTGATTGAAGGCTTGAGCTGATAACCTTGGTACTGTTGCTGAATAAAGACAGAGCTGACTTGTTTCAAATAGCAGAACACAAAGCAGAGAAGAATCTGGGTGGAATGCCCAGCCCAGGGTGGGTAGTAGGAGAAAAGTAGTAGATTTCCATTACATTTCATAAGAAAATGCATACATGTTTACAGCCTGGTGTTTTGTTGATTGTTTATATATGCAGCCTTGTGCTATTAGTAGGAGTGACTTCCATTTACTGTATAGTACATTTTGATACCACTTACCAACTGATATTTGTGAGGTCTCCCTATCTTACAGATGAGGAGATGGGGGCTTAACACTTGTGAATGGTGTGGCTGGGGTTTGCCACCTACGTCCAGAGCCCACATTCTTTGTTCCTTGCTGGGTTTTGCGTTTAACTTCTACCTTTATTACAGAGGGTTTTTGTGGCCCTTCTGGTGGCCTCTAGTACAAGTACCATGTGTCCTCACACATCATGACCTCTTCAGAGGTCAGAGGCTGCTTCTTTGGCCCTGAGGTGGCCATTTCACGCGCTTCCTTCAGAGTGCAGGGCAAGGGGATACCAGCACAGATTGTTGGAAAAGCAGCTTTCCCTAAGAATCTCCTCCCAGGGAAACCCAGAGAGTTCTTTCCGAGCCTTTCCAACTGCTTTACAGCTAGGCATTTCCATGGAATCCTAATTATTGAAGCCATTTTTCTTCTAGGCTTCTCTCTAGTTGTTTTGATTGCAGATGTCCCACAGGCTGTTGGAAAGCATTTATATTTATTTTTAGGTCCTAATCTTCTAGGGCAGAGACTCTCAAATTTTCCTGTATGGGAGACTTTCCCAAGTGCTCATTAAAACAGCTTGCTGGGGGCGCGCCTGGGTGGCTCGGTCAGTTGAAGCATCCAACTCTTGGTTTCGGCTCAGGTCATGATCTCAGGGTGGTGAGATTGAGCCCTGCATCAGGCTTCACACTCAGCGGGGAGTTTGCTTTGAAATTCTCTCTCTCCCTCTGCCCCTCCTCGCCCACTGGCACATGTGCTTGCTCTCTGTCTCAAATAAATTTTTAAATATTTTTCTTTAAGCCCCACATCGGGCTCTCCACTCAGCAGGGAGCCTGTTTCCCCCTCTCTCTCTGCCTACTTGTGATCTCTCTCTCTCTCTCTCTCTCTCTGTCAAATAAATTAAAAATATCTTCAAAAATTAAAAAAAAAAGATTTTTCTTTAACCAATTTATTTGGCAGAGAGAGAGCATAAGAGGTGGTAGGGTCAGAGGGAGAAGCAGACTCCCTGCTGAGCAGGGAGCCAGACATGGGGCTCCTTCCCAGGACTCTGGGATCATGACCTGAACCAAAACCAAGAGTAGGATACTAAACTGACTGAGCCACCAGTTGCCCTATCAAATTAAAACAAAACCTTAAAACGAAACAAAACAACAGCAAAAAACCCAAAACAGCTTGCTAGGCTCCGTTCCCCACCTACCCCCTCCCCCAGTCTCTGATTCAGCCAGTCTGGGTTAGGGCCAGGGAAGCTGGATTTCTAGCATGTTCTCAGGAATGCTGCTGCTATAGGGAAGAGGCAACACTTGGATAACTAATTCTCCAGGGCTTCTGGCGGGATCCACATGCCTACCTTCCCATGTCCCCATCCCCTGTAAAATCACCCTCCAAGCCACTCTACTTTTACTTCTTTGTACAAAATTAGCCAGAGGCATCAGGTGAAGTCTGTGTCTGGCTTCCAAAGTTAGCCAGCGGCGTGACTTGGTCTTCAGGAGCTCACTCGTGTGGGGACCTGGTGTTGCAGGTAGTGAGAGCGGCTGAGGAGGCGGCGTCCACACTGGCCAGCTCCATCCACCCAGAGCAGTGCATCAAAGTTCTCTGTCCCATCATCCAAACAGCCGACTACCCTATCAACCTCGCCGCCATCAAGATGCAGACCAAAGTCGTCGAGAGGATCGCCAAGGAGTCCTTGCTGCAGCTCCTCGCTGACATCATCCCAGGCTTGCTACAGGTGGGCCCTCCCGGCAGCTGGCCAGCACCTGTCTTCCCAGGGCTATGAGGCTGGGAGCAGGCGCTGCCCCACCTGGGGACATGGGGGCTTTGCTCTCCCCATTCACTCAAGGGTTGGGGAGGAAAAGGCAGGCGCCGACCTGTGCTTTTAGGAACCTGTGCAGCTGTATGGCTTGGACACCCTATGCCTTCTGTTTTCTAATGTAGCAGGAAGATCTTCCTGGAAGATTAGAACTGTGGCTCCAGGAATGAGCTTTCTGTTTACTATAAATATATTTTGGTCATTTTTGTTGTTGTTCATTCCTTCAACAAAGCCTTATGGCACATCTGTGGGCCCCAGCCCTGGGCAAGGTGGGCCAGGGATCAGCTCCAGGTCCTTGCTCTGCTCCCCAGCAATCACTTACTGGAAGCCTTCTAAGCATGAGGCATAATGTGGGGCCCCATACAACTGTGTGGGCGGCTCCAGATGTGGGCACCACACGCCATTATTGTAGGTACAAGTGGAGCTTGCTGAGATCAGAGGCTGAGGGCGGATTTCAGGGCTGGGGCAGCGGAGAGAGGAGGGCTCATGGAAGAGTCAGTTTACAGTCGCACCCTGGAAGGGAGAGAGTGATTTCAGCAGGGAGGGTAGAAAGAAAGGAGCTTCATGGTTTAATAAATACTGCTGCTTGCCAAGCACTCGGCTTGGGACGTTAAATGCAGACTGAAAAATCCTCAGGGCTGCTGGGACAGCAGTGAGTAGTCCCATTTGAGTGGGGCAAGGGCCAGGCCAATGGGTAGGTCAAGGCCCATTTGTAGAGGATGCATGTGTCAGGCCGTGGGCCTGGATGCCCCCACAGAGGTTCTGCCCACAAGAGTGCGGGATGCAGTTCTCGGGGTTTTTTTTTTATTAGTTTATTTATTTTTTATTTATTCGACAGACAGAGATCGCAAGTAGGCAGAGAGGCAGGCAGAGAGAGAGGGAGAAGCAGACTCCCTGCTGAGCAGAGAGCCCGATGCGGGGCTCGATTCCAGGACCCTGAGATCATGACCTGAGGCAAAGGCAGAGGCTTTAACCCACTGAGCCACCCAGGTGCCCCGCAGTTCTCGTTTCTTAAGACATTTTTACACAAGGCATGCTTTCCCCGGGGGGCGCCCAGGTGACTCAGTCAGTTAAGCGTCTGCCTTCAGCTCGGGTCATGATCCCAGGGTCCGGGGTTTGAGTCCTTTGATCAGGGCTCAGCGGGCAGCCTGCTTCTCCCTCTCCCTCTGCTCCCCGCAACCACCTATTCATGCTTGCACGTGCACTTTTTTTCAAGTAAAATAAAATTAAAAACAGATATATTTGCTTTACCATTGGGAGAAATGTGAAAGAAGTGAGCTATTTCTTCCCCCCGAATTCCTGTCCCAGTCTCTCTGGCACACGTGTATGTCGGGGGGCACTGCCACGACAGCTCTGGTGAAGCAGCCCCCTGTGCATAGGCTGCCGGCCAGTCTCCCGCTTCCGACCCTGGGATCCAGCTCATTTTCCACACTGTGAAGCTGTGACCTCTCTGGGTTCAGCGGCAGATCTCAGGTGTGCTGTGGTCGTTGGCAGCAAGTTCACGGATGAACTATGAGGGCATTTGTGGAAATGTGGGTGAGACGTTGACTGTGAAGCAGTTCTTTGATCTCATTTCCTTTTTGTGTCCCCTCTGACTTTGTAGGGCTATGACAACACCGAAAGCAGTGTACGTAAGGCCAGCGTGTTTTGCTTAGTGGCAATTTATTCCGTAATTGGAGAAGAGCTGAAACCTCACCTCGCGCAGCTCACGGGGAGCAAGGTATGTAAAGTGTTACGTGAGCCGGTCGCACACCTGGGCTCTGCCAGCCATCGTGGATCTGCTTGGCTGCAGCTCTGGCCTCCACACAGCCAGGGTTCCCCGTGGCCGTCAGCAGTCACAATAGCAGGCGCTCGCCAGGTGCTTGCCAAGGCAGGTCCTGGACGCTGTTGTCTGCACCTGGCACGTGTTGATGTGTTCGCTCATGGCCGACATCCCTGTGGGACAGGGACAGTTATCCCACATTTAACTGCCCAAGGACACACACAGCTCAGCTTTTTCTCACTCTGCTGCCTCTCACGTTCCTTTCAGAGTTTTCTAGAATCAGAGGCCAAATGTGGAACAAAAGGCTGATTAGCTCATTGCAGCCAAGGATGGCTAAAGTGCTTATTGGTTTCAAAATCTGAAGAGCCTGCCAGTTGAGAGCAGGTGGATGCCCCAAGCTCTGGCGGGAGCGGCAGCTTGAACTCCTGGGCCTTGCAGGCCTCTGGCCTGGTGGCAAGGCTACTCCAGGGACTGCCCATGGGGGAAGTACATCAACATGGAGTTAGAACACCCTGGCGGTGTTCTGGATAAAAAACCATGAAGCTAAAGGTGCCTGACGCACTCCTTGTGAAGGATAGAATCAAAAGTAAGGCCCCGTGTCTTTCCACATGGAGCTGTTCCCGACACAGCTGGTGAGCCTCACAGCCAGGGCCTTGCTTCCCCGGAGTTGTGGCAAGGCCAGCTTGCCTGCCTCTGCCCAAGCAGGATTTGCCCCTCAGCACCACTGACACTTGGGGCCACCTTGTTGTCAGGACTTCTCCTGGGCATTATAGGAAGATCAGCGGCACTCCCGCTGCCTTCTCTATCTTCTGGTAGCACCCCCACCATCGGTAATCGGACTGGTAATCCCCATGGAGTCTGCACATGGCCACATCACCCGTGGAGGGCAGAATCTCCCCTGCTCGAGCACCACCGATCCCAGGGGAGACTCTTGACTCTTCTCGCAGACAGAAATAAGCAGCGGGGTCGGAGGGTGTGAGTGAGGCAGCTGTGGATAAGTGATTTCAGGGGTTCTTTGCCTGATTCCATTTTCCACTTCCTCCTCTCCTTTTCTCCTACAAAAAGGCTCTTCACTGATTCCTACCCTAGCCACGATCTGAGGAGTACTGAGACAAAGGTCACCAGCAGTGAGAACTAGAAGACAACTTTCACAAAGGAAATTCAACTTTTAAAAATCATCCCCAAGTTATACTAGACCCAGATTTTGTCCAGCAATTTTCATTTTCCTCAGTAAGGCAACTGTCCCATCATCTCATTTGACCTCTCCAATATATATGGATTGAGAAGATGCAGGTGTTTTCTCATCCCTGTCCGGCAGCCGGCCTGCTGCTGCTCCTTTCCGTGGTGGCCTCGGGCCAGAGCTGGTTACAGCTTGAGTCTGCTCAGAGGGCTTAGGGAGGCCAACCCTCGCGCTGCTCCACTTTGGTGGCCCAGTTCATCCTATTATGGTCGCTCGATGGAATAACTCTTTTTGTAGACTCATGTATATGTCTCCACCACCGAAAATCAGTAGCTGACAGACATGGTGCTAAGTCTGTTTGACTGGAAACAAAAGAATTCCTGTTTCTCTGTAGAGAAGGGCCCGAGGCAAGGACGCAGAAGGCATGCATATGGGGCATTTTGAGAGTGTCCTGTCGCTGTGGCAGCAACAGCATCTTTGAGGTCAGACAACCTGCCTGTGGTCTCTGCCCCCCACTTCCTAGCTAGCTCTATGACCTTGAATAAACTTTCTTTTCTCTTTCTGTTTTTTTTTTTAAATTATGGCAGAATATACATAACATACAATTTGCTGGGGCACCTGGGTGGCTCAGTGGGTTAAAGCCTCTGCCTTCAGCTCAGGTCATGATCCCAGAGTCCTGGGATCAAGCCCCGTATCGGGCTCTCTGCTCAGCAGGGAGCCTGCTTCCTCCTCTCTCTCTCTCTCTCTCTGCCTGCCTCTCCGCCTACTTGTGATCTCTCTCTCTCTCTGTCAAATAAATAAAATCTTAAAAAAAAAAAAACAAAAAAACATACAATTTGCTATCTTTACCATTTTTTATAGTTTACTGGTAATAAGTACATTCACAGTGCTATGTGACCATCACCTCCAGAACTTTTTTCATCTTGTAAAACCAAAACTCTGTACACATTAATAGTAATTCCTCATTATTACCTCCTCGCAGCCCCTGGCCACCACTGTTCTATTTAGTCTCTCTGAATTTGACTGCTCAGGTGCTTCATGGAAGTGGAATCATTTGTCTTTCTGTGACTGGCATATTTCACTTAGAATAACGTCCTTGAGGTTCATCCTTTGTGGTAGTATTTGCCAGAACGTCCTTCCCTTTTGAGGCTGAATAATATTCAATTATATGTACATACAACAGCCTGCTTATCCATTTTTTGGTAATGGACACTTGTTCTTTCCACTTGTGGCTGTTGGGAGTCATGCTGCTATGAATGTATGTATAAAAATCAGTCTTTGCAACCTGACTTTCAGTTCTTTTGGGTTATCCTGCAGGACTAGAATCGCTAAATCCTAGAATAACTTTTCCACGGTGGTTGTGCCCTTTCACGGTCCCAGGAATAGCACCGACAGGCTGTAGTTTCTCCACATACTAACCAGCATTTGTTCTTTTCTCTTTTTTGATGGTGGCCATCCCAGTGGCTGGTGGTCCTGTGTTGGCTGCTTGGTGTATCTTTGGAGAAATATCTACTCAAGTCCTTTGTCCATTTTGAATTTTTTTTTTTTTTTTAATTCTTAGGCTTTAGCAGTTCTCTGTATATTTTAGATATTAATCCTTATCTTTCAATGCATAAATTTTTTTAATGTGAAGCTTTTGCCCTGTGTTTTCTTCTAAGAGTTTTATAATTTAACTCACACATGCAGGTTCTCTGGTCCATTTTGAATTAATTTTTATGTGATATTAGGTAACGCTTCAGTTTCATTCCTTTGCATGTGGATATCCAGTTTCCGTGGCACCATTTGTTGGAAAGACAACCCTTTCTTCATTAACTGGTGATTTTATATCTTATGACTTTGCTAAATGTATTAGTCTTTGCAGGGTTTTTAGGGAGAATCATTAGGGTTTTCTACATATAAGATCTTCATCATCTATGAATAGAAACTATTTTACTTCTTTCCAGGGTGGAGACCTTTTATTTTTTCTTGTCTTATTTCTCTGGCTGGAACTTCTAGTACCAAATTGAATAGAAGTGGGGAGTATCAGCACCTTGCTTTGTTCCTGATCTTCAAAGAAACACTTTTAGTCTTTTACCATTGAACATGATGTTCACCGTGGGCTCCCCATATGTAACTTTTGATATGTTAGTTTCCTTCTGTTCCTAGTTTGTTGAGTAATTTTATTATCAAAGGATGTTGAATTTAGTTATCATCAATTGAAATGATTATGTGTTTTTTCCCCTTCATTCTGTTAATTATATTGATTAGATTTTCATATGTTTAGCTATCAATGAATTTCAGGAACAAATCCCACTTGACCATGGTGTATACTCTTTTTAATATGCTGTTGAATTCAGTTTGCTAGATTCTTCTCGAGGACTTTTACATCAGTGTTTGTAAGAGGTACTGACTCATAGTTTTCTGTTCTTATCTTCATCTGGCTTTGGCATCAGGACAATGCTGACCTGATAGCATGAGTTTGAAAGGGCTCCTTAATCTTCGATTTCACGGAAGAATTTGAAAAGGGTTGGAGTTAGTTTGCTAAATGTTTGGTAGAATTTACAAGTGAAGCAATCTGGTCTAGGGCTTTTCTTTGTAAGAAGTTTTTTGTTGTTATGTTTTTGTTTTTGTTTTACTGCCCCAGTCAATGAAAGTGAGACTTTATGGAAGCCTCAGGGCCTTGAGATTCTGGCAAGGAGTGGCTCTGCAGGCAAAAAAAGAGCCGGTGGAGGGGCAGTATTTGATCTTCTCAGGGCACAGGTTGCTGATGTGGCACACTTGCTGCGGCAGGGGACTGCGGGGGTGCAGGCGAGCAGAACCCTAGGAGCAGATCATCTTGTCGCAGTTGGATTTCTGGGCCAGCGGCGGAGGAAGGGCTTGATGATGCCACCCTACAGGTGAATCTCCAAGTACAGGATGGCCTCTTTCTGGATAGTGCAGTCTGAGACAGTGCAGCTGCCCTCCAGCTGTTTGCTCACAAAAATCAGATGCTGCTGGTCGGGCAAGATGTCCTCCTTGTGGATTTTAGTTTTAACGTTCTCAGGGGTGTCACTAGGCTCGACCTCAAGAATGACAGCCTTACCGTCAGGATCTTTACAGAGAGGTGCATCTCCATGTCTGCCGCAGGGCCGATGCCACCTAGGAGATTTTTTATTCCTGATTTGATCTCCTCACTAATTACAGATCTGTTTGCATTTTCTCTTTCTTCATGATTCAGTCTTGGTAGGCTTGATGTTTTGAGGAATGTGTCCATCTCATCTGGGTTGTCTGATTTGTTGGTCTACGTTTATTTTGTAGCATTCTTTTACAATCTTCTTCTTTCTTTTTTTAAGATTTTACGTATTTAGGGCACCTGGGTGACTCAGTGGGTTAAGCCTCTGCCTTCGGCTCAGGTCATGATACCAGGGTCCTGGGATTGAGCCCCGAATCGGGCTCTCTGCTCAGCGGGGAGCCTGCTTCTCCCTCTGTCTCTGCCTATCTACTTGTGATCTCTCTCTCTCTCTGTCAAATAAGTAAATAAAATCTTTTTTTAAAAAAGATTTTATGTATTTATTTGAGAGAAAGAAAAAGAGAGAACAAGTGGAGGGAGAGGCAGAGGGAGAAGCAGACTCCTGCTGAGCAAGGAGCCCAATGCAGGACTCAATCCCAGGACTCTGAGAGCATGACCTGAGCCGAAGGCAGACACCTAACTGACTGAGCCACCCAGGCGCCCTGATCTTTTTTATTTCTATAGAGTTAGTTGTAATGTCCCACATTTCGTTTGTGATGTTAGTAATTTGAGTCTCCTTTTTTTTTAGGTAACTGAGCTAAAGTAAAGATGTGTTAATTTTGTTTATCTTTTCTAAAAACTAACTTTTGGTTTCATTGATTTTTCTCAGTTTTTCTATTTTCTTTATCTCTGTCCTAATCTTTATTATTTCCTTCTTTCTCGGCTTAATTTATTCTTCTCTTTCTACTTCCTTAAGATGTAAAGTTAGGTCATTGCCTTGGGGTCTTCCTTCTGTTTTTGTTTTGTTTTTTTAAAGATTTTATTTATTTATTTGTCAGAGGGAGAGAGAGTGAGGACAAGCAGAGTGGTAGGCAGAGGCAGAGAGAGAAGCAGGCTCCCCACCGAGCAAGGAGCCCGATGTGGGACTTGATCCCAGGACACTGGGATCATGACCCAAGCCGAAGGCAGCCGCTTAACCAACTGAGCCACCCAGGCATCCCCCTTCCTTCTGTTTTAATCTAAGCATTTGCAGCTATACCTTTCCTTCTTTGCGCTGCATGTGCTGCATCCTTTAAGTTTGGGTATGTTGTGTTTTCATTTTCATTTGTCTCAAGATCTCTTCTAATTTTCCGTGTGATTTCTTTGTTGACCCATTGGCTGTTTACCAGTATGTTGTTTGGTTTCCCCAAATTCGTGAATTTTTCTGTTTTCTTTCCATTGACTGACTTTTCACTTCATCCAGTTGTGGTCTGAGAAGACACTCTCTATGGGATCTGTCTTTGTAAATCTATTGAGACCTAATTTGTGGCCTGACACACAACCCATTCTGGAGCACGGACCGTGTGCACTTGAGAAGGATGTGTATTCTGTTGTTGCGTAGCATATTCTAGATGTGTCTGTTAGATCCACTTGGTTCGTCATAGTGTGCAGGTCTTTGGTTTCCTTGTCTTCCTTCTGGTTGCTCTCCCCATTATTAAGAATGGAATCCTGAAGTTTCCCACTGTTACTGTAAAACTCTTTCTCCCTTCAGTTCTGTCAGTGTTTTCTTCTGACATTCTGCTGGCATGTTACTATACACTGAAATGTCTGTATTTGGTGTATCTTCTTGGTGTATTGACCTTTTATGAATATAAGGACTTTCTTGGTCCCTTGTAAACTTTTTTGATTTAAAGTCTATTTTGCCCAATATGATTAGCACAGCCATCCCTGCATGCTCAATTATGGTTCACGTGGGCTGGCTTTTTCCAGCCTTTCACGTTCAGCCTCATTGTATCTTCCCTAAAGTGAGTCTCTTATAGACAGCATAGAGTGGGACCATGTTTTTCTCACCCATCCTGCCAGTCTCTCTTTTCACGGAAGAGTCTCACCATCTCCACTGGAAGCAACTCCTGGGGAGGAGAGACTTCTGTCATCTGGGCATATGTTTTCTATATGCTATAGAGCTGTTTTTGTCCTTTGCTTTTCTGCATTACTATCTTCTTTTGTGTTTGCTTTGTGTACTGGAACGTTTCTGTTCTCGTTTCTGTCTGTGTATATTCTGCAGCTTTTTTCTTAGCAGTTGCTGTGGGGATCACATCTGACACCCTCAGGTTATAGCAGTCTACAGTTTGAACTTGTAGCAGCTCATGGAGCAAGTGAACCCCAGCCTTTTCATTTGAACCCCTTTGCTGCCCCCCTCGAAGGATCTTTATGAGCTCCTTCCTCATTTTGCAGGAGGGGAAGTTGATGTTCAGAAAATGTTTTGCCTGAAGTCACACAACTAGTTAATGGTGGAGTTGGTTCTAGAACTCTGCTGGATCTGTTGAGCCTCAGGCTGCCGCTTTGTTTGATGACTAGGGTTTCCCTTGAACCTGGTCGGCCATGACTGTATCACTTAGAACATTAGAATCCCTGTGTAAAACGATGGTACTGCCCTCATGGGGCGCCTGGATGGCTCAGTCGGTTGGGTGTCTGGCTGTTGGTTTCCGCTTGGGTCACGATCTCAGGTTCTCAGGATCGAGCCCCTAGTCAGCTCTGCACTCAGCAGGGAGTCTGCTTGAGATTCTCTCCCCCGCCCCCACAACTCGTGCACATTCTCTCTCTCTCCCAAATAAAATCTTTCAATAAAACAAAATGTTTAAGATTTTAAGGGGTGCGGAAGGAAAAGCAAACTGTGCCGTACTTGGCTCAGTTACAAAGGCTAAGGCAGTCCTGCAGGTGCTGGTGTGTGGAAAGCCCAGGGCTGGACTGTGGAGTAAAAGCAGGGGGCCTCAGATGCACTGCTGACTCCCTTTGAGTGATATGTTGGGAGACTTATTCTCCCCTAGGAGCTCCGCACAGTTGCTGTCCTGGTGCCTGGTTGTCACTGGGGGCCCACTTTCTTGTGCAGTCCACACTGAGCCTCTCCTCCTGGGTCCCCTGAAGACCAGCATCGTGGCCTGTTTAGAGCAAGACAGGTAAAGAGCTGTGGATAGGAAATATCCCATAATTCCCTCAGTCTTACAAGTTGTGTGTTACGTGCATTTTTTCTGGGCATTCCATTTCCACAGATACTTGTTTCTTTTTGTTCTTCATATGATCACAGAGATGGTCCATATAACATACTAACTTAGTAGCCTTCAAGAAGCATTTAAGAACCTACCATGTTTTACACTGTTCTACATATTTGTAGGGTCCTAGTGGGCCTGTGTTAAGAGCAGATGAGATCTGGTTATGGAAGCCCCTTGCGTTGGGAAGCCCCGTGCACAGCCGAGGTGCTGTGGTTTAATGACACAGCATTGGCGTCAGGGAGGTCTCGTCTTGCTGGAAGTGGCAAGTGAGGGCTTCGCTGACTGCAGCTCGGGGCGGCATGGGCTGAGGCAGAGTGCAGTGCCCACGCCACAGGACTTGGAAAAAAGGGTTGGGGGCATCCCAGTGAGTGGATGAGGGTAGGCTTGGTGGATGCAGCCTTTGGGGTTGGTCTCAGATGTCACAGCACCACAGTGGACTTGAGGAAGCCGAGATGGGGGTGGAGAGAGGAGGTGTGCGTGCAAAAGGAGCAGCTTCGGCAAAGGTGCGAAGGTCAGAAGACTTGACCCGTAGCCTTGTTTAGCCTACCCTGTCCCCAAGGAGCACGGGCCTGTGCCCTGCTTTCCCTGACAGCTGCGTGCGGCCCTTGGCCGCAGTCACCCCGGAACGTGTGCCTTTGCCCTTCACATACCTGTCTCCCTGGAGCCCTTGTGGCCCACCTGGTTAGCACCTTTCATTCTGTTCCTGAGAACCCATTGCCACTCGTTCTTCTCTAGATCCTGACCTCCACGTCTGGGCCCTCACCCCCGGCTGACGTGCGCTGCAGGAGTCACAGGCCCTAAGTAAATGGAACACACTGTTTTTGTCTTTTTTTTTTTTTAAGATATTTATTTATTTATGAGAGAGAGCACGAGCATGAGCGGGGAAAGGGGCAGAGAGAGAAGCAGAGTACCACCTCCCCACCCCCCAAGCAGGGGATCCAGGACCTGGGATCTATGATCCAGGCCAAAGGCAGACAACCAGCTGAACCACGCAGGTGCCCATAACATGCTGCTTTCTTATCGTCACCTGGGTTTTTTCGTTGTCTGCTCTCTGATTGCTTTCCTCCCGCTAATGCGTTTGTGTCTTCTCTTTGCAGATGAAGCTACTAAACTTATATATAAAGAGGGCCCAAACCACGAACAGCAACAGCAGCTCCTCCTCCGACGTATCCACACACAGCTAATACAGCACCACAGTCTCTTCGTGTAGCCCTAGAAGCAATCGGTGGCGCCTCTCAGAGACCCTCCCCGACCCTCCCCCTCATCGGCTGCCCAGTCAGTACAAGGAGGCCCGCAAATATTTATTACAATCAGTATTTTGGTCCCTTTCAGCTTTTGTGTAGAATCTTACTGGTATTGAATGTAAAGGAAGCAAGGCCTGTATTACAATCTTCATACAAAGCAAATGGAATAAGAAAAGAGCCATACGTGAACACGTCTTGTACAGTCGGCTGAGATCACAAAACCGCGCAGTTTCAAAAATATCAGAGCTCTCTAGCCAATACTTGGTAGAAAGTAGCATTTTCTCTTAGTTAATAACATTGGAGGAGGGTATGTTAATTTGTGCTTCTCTCTCATCCTCGCTTACTTCCTTCTGGATACGGCCTGTGACGCCAGGACAGGGTCATACGTCTTTGAGTTGTACTGTGAGACCTACTAAGAATGTGAGTCCAGTCTTGGCAAGAAAAAGAGAAAAGCCTGAAGACAGTCTTGTAACAACCACGTGGGATTTTGCTTGTACACGATCTAGACTGGAGGCCCAGGGCCCCCTCCGCAGGCTCCTTCCAGGACGGGCTCCCCGCCCCTCCGAACACTCCACTCTCACTATCCCCACCCGGAGCTTCCAGTTGAAATCTTTCTTCTGTTTCAATCCAAACTCAAAAATCAGAGTAAATCTGTAGCAGCCATCATGGGTGCCTAACGTGGCATTTCATGAAGCGTGGAAGGTACAAGAGAAGGGGTGTGTGTGTGTGTGTGTGTGTGTGTGTTCCGCTCCTCAGCTCTTGGGGAGACACCATGTTAACAGTCTCCGCCTTGACCCTGGTGCTTGGTGGTTTGGATCTTTGGATTTAGCGCCATCTCAGTTTCTCCCCGGCAGCCTCTGCCGAGGCTGCTCAGTTCTGAAGCGTTCTCCGTCCGTCTGGTAAAGGGCGACTCTGTCATCCCAGTTTTGCCTTCTCGGTTTAATTTAGGAGTAAGAGCAAAGAAAAGTCCAGAGAAGCCAAGTATCAGAATCTTTTTTTTTTTTTTAAATTTTATGAATATAAGTACTTCCTTGCTCATCTGTTGAAATAATCCTTGTTTAAGGATAAAGTAATTTAGCGGCTGGCAAATTGCAGAAAAACAGACTTTAAAACCCAGTTTTAAAGTCTGTTTCCTTTTCTCCAGTGAGAAATTATCAGAGAAACTACCCTTCTGAAAATATTCTCTTAAGGGTGTGATTGCTCCAGTAAAAGGAGCTCTAGACTTGGAATCTGGTTAAATCCATTTTCAGTAAAATTCTCAAAGCCAAATGGAAATCCTTGATGCCATTACAAAGACTTCTATCCTCTGTCCAAATGGAACTGGTTTTTCCCTCCAAAAAATGCCTACTCTGGTATTTTTTTCATGAGGCGTTCACTGTTCCGATGCTGAATCCCCTGCAGCCAGCACCACTGAGAACAGAGACCATGTGGGGTCATCACGGACATCCCTAGACATTCCCCTGCTCTGGTCCTGTGGCCTTGTGTTGGAAGTTGTGACACTGTAGCACACATAAACTCAGTTTCATTCAGAATTTATTTTAGATAATTTGGAGCTAGGCACTGAAAATGAAGGTCCAGGAACAGTGAAGCCAGGGTGCCTTCACAGAGAGAAAGCGTGTGTGTGTGTGTGTGTGTGTGTGTGTGTGTGTGTGTGTGTGTGTGTGTATGTGTATGTGTAGGGGTCTCTCGCACATGGAGGGAAGTACCCCACTGCTGCTGTTGAAGGAACTTCAGGGGTGCATTTTAAGTGGTTGAATATTGACTGACTTTTGGCTCAGAACATAGCAGGACCAGGCCTTACTTTCATTGATAAATACCGCCTGTTAATATTTCACTAATGGGATTTCCTTTTTACAATCGACAAGTGAGTCAGGGCACCTTTTGATCACTCCTCTGTCTTAGAAACGTGCATTCCGGCGAGGTTATTTATGAGTTCTTTCACACCTGATGGGTTTGGAAAGGCCTTCCTCCTTGAAATCTCTGACTCCCCGGTCTCCCAGGCCCCGCCGCCTGCGGTTGGGAAGAACCTTGAACATTGCCGAATGTCCTCCTAGTACTCACAAAGGGCTAGCCTTGAATGTCACTTGCCCGATTCAGTCCCCCCACCTAGAGATGCAATCATGGACAGGTCTCTTGGCCTCAGTCAAAGCTGCTGGCGTGGCCGGGGAGACTCGCATGCCGCCGCCACCACCTCACAGGGAGGGAGCCGCACCGACTCCGCCCTCCGAAGCCCGGACAGCAGCCGCTGCCTCACCCTCCCTCCCTGCAGGCCTCGTTTTGGGCTGAAACACCACACAGAGCAAAGCACCCAAAACTGCAAAACTGTGTTTGCTGCCCCTGTTTACTGGACCGTCCAGGACCCCGAAGAGCCCACCCGAGCCTCCCTCCCGCTGGGGCTGGCATCCCTCCTGGCTCCCGCTTCTTCCCACGGTGCGGCCCGCAGGCTGCGGCTGCGGTGGGCACCAGCTTCCTCCGAGTACACTGTGTGTGCTTCGCTGGACCGGCGCGGACGGCCCGGGACTGCCTCTCTGTGGCCCCACCGGCTTCTCCCCTGTGCAGGTGAGGCAACCGATTGTGGTCTCATCAGTCTTTTTCTTTCCCTGCCGCCCTTTATTTATCGAGCATAATACTACACATTAACAGCAAATAAGAACTTTGTAGAATCCCACCAGGACTTTGCTAACAGTGATGTTTGGAAATGAAAACAACGCTCGGAAAACTCTCAGCCACCATAATAGTTTTGTCAGCGCTGTGTTCACACGCATGGTCCCCACACCCCCAGGTTGGGTTTTTTGGGTTTTGTTTTTGTTTTTTGGGGGCTTTTCATGTTACATCCATATCTGTATTTATATCTTATTTGTTTCACTTTCAAGTGTATCATGGCAAATGTACAGATTTTTTTTGTTAATAATGTGCTAGGATTTGCTAAAAAAGAAAACAAAACAAAAAAAAACCCTTTTGAGTTTGCCCTAGAATAAATGAAACTTAATTCAGTTTCTTGCACTGAAGCTTTTTCCTCCCCGGACGCTATAGATAGCTTATCCTGTCTCCCCAACCCCAGAAGGGGACACATTCATAAAGAATCTGAGGGGGCTCCTTCAAGGGAGTCTTCTCGATGTCAAGTCCTTCTCTAGGGGGAGTGTCCCACCTGCTATCGGGAGCTGCCACCTTGCAGCGTGGAGTGAAGGGTTGGGCATAAAGACCCAGGTGGGCTGCCTGAGCAGAGAAAAGGTGAGCTTCTGGGAACTCAGCTCAGGGGCTGCTGCTGGAAGCCGGCTGGACCTTGGGGAAGGGGTTGGAGGGAGGGGGCCGCCTGGCAGCTGACCGGAGCGTGGACTTAGGAGGAACACGTGCAGGACACCGAGGGCACCAATCCACTTGAAGCCTTTTACTAAAATAAGACGGTGAGTTTTCCATTGTTTAGCATCACCACCATATGACTCTGAGTCCCCTTCTCCTTCCCCTGTTTGACCTGTGACAGCAGGTCATATCACATCACAAATGCCTGGGCCCAACTCCCAGCTCCCACCCTCCCTAGGCAAGTCACCACTCTTCCCAGTCCAGTGGTTGCATTTTTAAGGCAGAACAAAAACTACATCCCGGCAGGATGGTGAGGGTTCGTGGAGATGCTGTAGGTGAAGCTGCTGGTACGGAGTGAATGCTAGGTCGCCCCGCCCCGCCTCCTGTAGGCAGAGGGAAATCGGCCAGGTGAAGCATGCTCGATTACTCATTAGCAAATGTGGAAAACCCCTGGGGGGGACGGACCACGGCCCTTTGGGTCGCTAACCCCTGGTGCCATTGTGCTGCCTTTTTCAGGACCGCCATCTTAACAGTCACGGGCCACAGGTGCGGGAGGGGGATTCGGGCCCACTGCAGTCCATAGCTGTTACCTTCAGGGGATCCAGATGGCTTCTTCAGACTGTGCACCTTGCCACTCAGTTTTGCACTCAATCATAGAAGGTTCTAGGACCCCCTGAACCTGTCCCCAGTTCCCAAGGTGAAAAGCTCTGACCTAAAGGCCATGTATGCTCTTGGCCTTCTTGGGTCATTCAAGATGGGGTGGGGACGTGCAGCTGAGAAGCAGCATTAATAAACTTGTCTGGCGCTTAGACTTGGGAGAATTGTCTGTAGCATTGTATTGATTTTTCCACTAGCTCTATGATGCAGGCAAGGGACGTGCTGTCCTGTCCAATTGCCAGATGAGGAAACTGAGTCATGAGGCACTAGGAAAAGCCCCAGCTAGATGGTGACAAATGTTGGGGCAGGACCCCAGGCTCTGCCCCTAACAGGTGTCTTCCCAGCCTCCCCTGCCTCCCCCCCATTAGCACATTCTTCCTGGAACAACAGATGGGCACGTGGGAGTTCTCCCCCGCCCCGGGGGTGGCTTATGAAGCAGCCTGCTGGGTGTGGACCCATGAGCAGCTGGAGGGCCTGGGAAGGTGCATTTCAGACAAGTTCCCAGGTGAGGCCAATGCTGCCAGTCTGGGGTCACAGCCTGAGAACCACTGCCACACGCTTTGCTTGAAACAGGACAGGTGGCTTGGGCCCAAGGTTTTGGACGATTCTGAGAAGCTATTGCAGAAAACAGCACCGGGCTGCAGCTTCGTCGCCGGGCCATGGCGAACATTACGGGTAATGACTGTGACTGTCTAACTTCGCGTCCTAGCTAGGACTTTCAGAGGGGAATTGGGGGGCTGTTAGCAGAGGGAAGCCAGGAGTGTCTGGGGCAAATGGGACGCTCACCACCCCCACTATGGAGCATAAAGCTCCCTGCTCGGAGGGAAGCTCTTCCCGAAGAGCCTTTGCCCAAACTGCCCGCCTCTCGGCTTCTTCCTGTATTTATTAACTCCTGCTGCAGTGCTCTAGGCAAGAACGGACAAAGGTCATGTGAATGGGCATCTAATCCTGGATTATGTATTTAAAAAACATTAAAATGCTTCCACACCAGTGCCCTCCTCAGACAGCGGGCCTGCTGCCAGCGCCACCGCCCTGGAGGCTGGCTGTGAGGCCCCGAGCACGTTCCCAGCAGCGTTGGGGTGTCCCTGCCTCCCCAGGCCTTGCCCACGCCCCCTCGCCGCTGCTCCCCCCACACACACCGCAGCTGCAGTTCAGGTGCTGTCCCTCCGCGGCCTTGAGGGGCACCCCAGGTGTCCCCAGCTCCGGCACCCATCAGCACCTCTCTGGTCTCTGGCTTCCCCCTCTGTGGGCCTGCCGTGGCCTCATCCCAGGCTCTTTGATGCCACGCTCACTGCCTACAGTGAGGGGGGGTGTGCTGCTGCTCCTCACAGCGCCTGGCTGGGGGGTCAGGAGCCAACCGGTGTGCAGGAAGTCTGGAAGTCTGGTTCTTGAGCCCAACTCGAGTGTTTCAGGGTCTCTGACTTCACCCAGATGACTCCAGCCTAGGATGAGCTCAATTTCTGACTCAAAGGAATGGAAGACTGAGGAGTTGGTTGGGGTGAGGGGTGGTGGGCCCCGCTGCTCCTTGGCCCTCACAGCACCTCCTGTCTCTGGGCTTTTCAGGCGACCTCTCCTCAGGGCACTACTCCTCCACCCACTCCTTTCCACGCCTGCTGTGTCCCGACGGCCAGGCCTTGTGTCCTCTGAGCTCCAGCCTCACACACCCGACTGCCTTCGTGAGGTCTCCACACGGATGTCACAGGGGCTGCTCAGGCCGGGTGCACCCACAGCTGGGCTTTCCAGCTGATCTCCCAAACCTGCTCCCCTCCCTTTCCATAGCTCCCACGCTCGCAGAGGCCAAGGCCAGGCCCTTCCCTTGTCCTGTCCCCCACCGCCCCCAACACACACACCTTCAGCTCCCAAGTACAAGGAGCCCTCCCCCCAGTGGATCTTGAAGGGTGCCCTTCTCTTTCCTGAGGACAAAATTTGAAACTCTTGAATGCGCTCTGCAAGGCCCAGCACGAGCCCCTGCGCTCTTCTTCCCCTGCTTCTCCTGTCAGTTTCCCTGTCTCCCAGCCTTCGCATTTTTGTTCCTTCTGCCCGGCCCACTCCCCTGCCCCTCTGTGCACCCCCACGCGCGCACACGCCTAGACACACACTTCCCTAGGCTAACTTTTACGGATACTTTATGTCTCAGCTTAAACGGCAGGTCATTATTTCTTTGGAGAAGAATCTGAATTAGGCTTTACTTTTACCTACCATGTTCTTATGTTTGTGTGACCGTTTGTCTGTTTCACCCACCCTGCGGGTGGCGGCTGGGCCTGTCTCATTGACATTTGTATTCCAAATACAGCCCAGATGCTAGATTGTGGTAGGTGCTGGCTGGCTGGCTGGATGGATGGACAGACGGATGAACGAATGACCAGCTTGCAGTTCCTCCAGTAGCCTGTGATCTCAAGCGCGTGGCCCATGACCTAGAGCTTTTCGCTTCTTCAGGGGCCCTACCATGATACCTAAGAACACAGCCGCCACGGCTCCACTGCCTGGTTCCAATCCCAGCTCCTGGTGCCCTTGGGCAAGTTTGTAACCTTTTCCTCTCTGTTCCTTCCTCTGAATGGGCAGAGTGCCAACAGTGCCTGCCTCATAGGCTTTCTATAAGTCACTTAAAAATAAAAAGTGCACCGGCCCCTGCCTGGCGTGTTGTGTTAGCCATGACTTTTGATTCAGTGGTTAATTAGACCAATTAAGTGAGGGAGTGACCTTGGCCTTGGGAGTCGGACCTGGGTCCCAGTGCTGGCTTCCTTCCATTTCTCATCTGTGCGAACTCAGGTGAGTCTTTTGGCTTCCAGTAGCCCGAAGATGATAAGAAGCAGTATGGCCACCGTGGAAAAGTGTTTAACACTCTCCTGTAAAGTTGAAGATTCATGTACCTTCCAATGCATCCATTCCACTCCTGAGGCCTGCCCTAGACAAACCTAGACACGAGTGTTTTACAAGACACACACACACGTTGGAGGCAGCGTAATTCCTAACAGCGAGGCAAGACATGGCCCCTGGCGACCCTACGGGAGGGAGGACAGAGGCTTTGTGGACGATTCACACGATGTGGTCCAATACAGAACTGCAAATGAAGGCACGACAGGGGCCATTTATCTACACGGATAAATCTTAGGAACACCGTTTTAAGGTAAAAGAAAGTTCCAGAAGAATGTGTAGGTATCTTACATTTTTTTGAAGTTTTTCAAGGTGAATGACCCAAACTAAATAACCACAGAGGTTGTGGTAAAACTTTACAAAGTAAGTAGATCTAAAACCGGTTTAGGAGAGTGGTTGGTTGTTTTGGGACGGGGGCGTGTAGGGGTGGCAGGTGCCAACAATCCAGAAGAGCAACAGTTAAAAGCAGCTCAGTAAAACAGTATTTAGTAAGAGTTTAGCAAAGTGAAAATGCGGAACTTGTTTTACCTTGATGATGATTGGTGGTCACAATGGGGGTTTTTAGATGGCAAGAGGGTGGGTTCAAAGTGATTATTTCATACCATTTTAGGAAATGGGCTTAAATGTCTTTGATGATTATCAGAGACATTTACAAGAATAACATGTTTTTGCACTTATGTTCATGAAATGAGCTGGATCTAGTTTTGCTTACGTGGCTTGCACAGTTTTGTCTGCTCCGAGCATTTTCAAGTTTGGTCTCCATTGTATATTTTGCTTCAACGTAGGAGAACAAGACAAGGAGGAGCAGGTGGCCAAGTTCAATGATACTGATGATGTTCTGGCTCATAATTTGGATGGTATGTTCACATGTGTTTATTTCATTTTTTATAGCTCATTACTAACATGTATGTTGTATGAATATATCTATTTGTATTATCAAATGTTTCATAATTTAGAAACAGAATAATGTATGAGAATATTAAGCTATAGGGTGATTTATATTTTTTAAACATTTTATTTATTTATTCATGAGAGGGCAGGAGAGAGGCAGAGGCAGAGGGAGAAGCAGGCTCTGCACAGAGCAGGGAGCCCAATGTAGGACTCGATCTCAGGACCCTGGGATCATGACCTGACTGGAAGGCAGACGTTTAAACGACTGAGT